GACGGTGAACAGAAGCCCGTCGGAGGATTTCAAGCAAGCTCACGGAATTCATCAATGGTGGCAACATCATTTTCAATGGCAGTCCAAGCTATACAAATTCATGGGTTGATAAGCAAGCAATTTAACATGAATTTGTTTTAAGTAAGCGAACAAAATAGAGGTCATTTGTACTTTAATTCACCACTAAAACACTATTTTTTTCTTCCCAAACGTTCATTATTTGGATAAAGCGCTGCATGCTCCTTGTTATATCTTCACTAGAGTACTACAAGGGGTAGTTTACCAAAATGCTTACGTGGTAAGAGCAAAGTCACCACTCTCACTGACCTTACCTGGTAAGATTTTTAGCCATAAAAATTGCATTGTGAGCAACAATCTTACCTACACTTACCGGCAGGAGTCGTCACCTCCCGTACCAGGTAAGACTCTCGAACCTTGCCTTGCTTCTTACTGGGTAAGATTCTCGGCCCTTGCCATGTTAATCCGGTAAGATAAGTGGCATTGTAAACACTTACCCAATATGCATATGGTAAACGGCCCCTAAGAGTATAAGTCCACAACCCCATATGAAATTTGGAATAAAAGGAAATCAATAGGAGCCGTTTACCAAACGCTTACCGGGTAACCACTTATCAGAAAGTCACCACCCTCACCTACCTTATCAAGTAGCATTCTCGGCCATCAAAATGGATTGTTGATAAGCGTCTTCACCCGGAAAGCACTTATCGGGTAAGAGTCATCAACCTCACTTACCGTATAAGACTCACGATCTTTGCCTTAGCTCTTACCGGGAAATATTCTTTGTCCTTGCATACGCAACTGGTAAACTAAGTGACCTGGTAAGTGCTTACCCAGGTAAGCGATTGGTAAACAACTCTAAATCACCTTAAAGAATGGGGAGTAGAGCAATATTTAAAGTTCCTAAACGTATAAGAAATAATTTAGGGGAGAAAGGAATTGAATGCTTGTTCATAGGCTATGTTGCAAATAGTAAAACCAATAGATTCAAGACTATTGAACCAATCGATCATTATGCTGTTCTTATCATTATCGAATCAAGGCACGCAACTTTTGATAAGAATCGTTTCACATCTATCCCTAGGCCTTGACGAGAAGTAAGTGGGCATGGAAATCTAAGGATTTAGAACCAGATTTCTTTTTGTTTAATGTGGAAGGACGTCGGGGAACAAGATGCACAAGACTTGTGAAATGAGAAACTTCCAAACACTAGTATTGTCATAGCAACCGACTTCCAAAAGCTTCCACGAATGTTGCTATGTTTGACTCAACACAGAGCCTAATACGGGTGTTTGACTATTGAACGACTTGTCTAACTACCTTACAATGTGAGCCATAGCAATTAGTTGTCCAACTACCCTACAAATACAATGAGATCTTGAGGACCATAGCGATTAGCATCAATATCTTGAAATGATGATCATGAGCAAATATGTAACTTTAGCTTCAAATTTCTTGCAAAAAGAAAGAAAATATTAGCTTGAAATTCTTGCATCCTTGTGAATCTCTCATCAATAATTTGGGGAAATGGTCAAGGTTGCACAGAAAGCGCATCCTGCCACCTCCCCAAGGGTGCATTTGGTAGACGGGACAGGACTGTATAGGTCGAAGTAAGATAGGCAGGTGAAAGAATTCTGAAGGTTTTAATTTGACTTTGGTAGTTTGGTAATGTATCCCTGATTTTTGTTCGACTTATTTTGATGGGACAGAAAAAAATGGATTTTTGTCTCAATCAAGTCATGTCATGTCCCAGTATGTCGCACCAAATATGGGACAACAAGCTTTTGTACTATACGGACTCCTGTCATACAAAACGCACCCCAATGAACTGCACCAAGTACAAAGATTAGGCGAAGGGTTGAAGAACCTATCTTACTAACTCCTAATTTTAGACGAACAGAACACCTAAATCTTCAAGAATCAAGAATGACTTGATCGTTTGAACTTTATCATAGAAGCTATTTTACTTCTTCGTGGACTTCGATTTTATAATTTTAGCACAAAATTTGGAATAGAATTCCAGGTCTCAAACTCCTAAAAAACTAAATGCATCTTATTCATCTTGTAAGTAATCATTCACCTCAGCCCATCAGGATCACATTCAGAGAATCATCACATAAGGAGACAATGGAACAACATGCATGCAAATCCAGCAAAATCAATATATTTTCAATGAACAAATTATCATCATTTTGCAAATGATTTCATCTTTATATCATTAGATGCAACTAAAGAAGATCATCATTAGTTCGAATTTCTTAATCAATTCAAACAACATAAACGTAGTTATGCAGTTACCTGCTCACTGGATGCATCAGTCTCTTCAACCTTCACCTCACCATCTGCCATTTCTGCCACAATCTCACCACCAGACTCGTTATTCTCATTAGAATTCTCTGCATCAACCTTATCACCAAACAACTTAGATGGCAACAAAGAAGAAACAGCAGCTCTAGCACTAGCTTTTGCTCTTTCTGCTTCTTCGGCTTCTTTAGCTTCTGCTTCGGCTTTTTCTCTTTTTATATCCGCCATAAGTGTCACCAAATCCTCCTCCCTTTCTTCTTTCCTCAGCTCCTCTCTTACAAACTCCTGCAACTCCTCCGAAAAATCCAAAGGATCCTCCCTCAACATTTTGCCAATGATTTCAAGAACTTCATCATGTTTCTTGATATCAAAGAGCGCCTTCATCATAAACTTATAGCTATCATCATCCATTCGCAGCTTAGGCACCATCATATCAAAAAAAGATTTAGCCTCATCAACCTTCCCAACTTTTACCAAGCCATCCATTAACCGATTATAAACTCCCAAATTTGGCCTCAGTTTGGATTCAATCATTTTCTTGTAATATGCAGCTGCATCATCAGGACGGCTTTCTTTGAAACAAGTATCCATCAATACAACAAAAGTGTACTCATCTGGGCTCACTCCCTTCTCAGTCATACCATTATAGAGCTCTTCCCCTTTAGCCAACATCCCGTTATCACACAACTGTTCGATTAGATTATTATATGAAAGAGTGTCCGGATGACACCGCTTCTCACCCATGCTATTGAACACGTTAATTGCATCATCGAATCTCCTTTCTGCACAACATCCGTCCACCATCACATTATAGCTACCCAAATTCACAGTCAGCAGCTTGGGTGGGTTGTGCTCAGCCAGCATTTTATCGAACAGCTTCAAGGCATCATCAAACTTTCCATTCTTAAACAGTGCATCCAAAATCGAATTAAACGCAATTGCACTCATCTTGATCTTTGAATCATCGGCCAAAGCTTCTTCATAACACTTCATAGCCTCCTTCTCCATTCCCTTCAGGAAATACCCTTTTATAACACTCCCATAAACAACCCCATCATGCACAAATCCACCTAATTTCTCCTTCAATTCCTCAAAAAGATCAAAAATTCCATCAGGGTTCTCAGTCTTAGCTTGCCCAGACATCAAATAACTATAAACAATCGGATCAGCTTCAAACCCTTTCGTTAGCATCTCATCTTTAATTTCCAATGCTTTCTCCAACTTATTATTATCAACAAGCCCTTTCACTATAATGCGATATGTCGTTGTGTTTGGATCAAATGGGGCATTATCAATTAACTGTTTGTAGTGTTCCATTGCGGTATCGGTTTTACGGCAATCCATATAGGTGTTGATGATGAGGTTATAAGTGACGATGTTCGCCGCGACGGCTGCTTGTGTGATGAAGCGGTGGAGGTTAAGAAGCTCCGCGTATTTAGACTGTCGGAGACAGGCGGCCATCACGGCGTTGCAAGTGAATATGGTCGGTTTGCAGTTGGAGTAGACAGAGTGACGCGTCAACAAAACGGCTTCTTGCAGATCGTTTTCACGGATGAGTTTGAGGATACGATTATGGAGGTTGAGGCGGTTGCCGGTGAGAGCAGATACGTGTTCTGGGATTTTCGGGGCGTTAGGGTTTGCATTAGGGCTTGGGGTAGGGCGAGGTTGGGATTGGGTGTTGGAACGGAGGGCATTAAGAGGGGGTTCGATACGGAGGCGACGTTTCCGGCGACGGCGTTCCGCGGCGGCGTCTTCTGGTGTGGCAAATGATAACTGGCGGAGCGATACAACAGCCGGGCGGAGCGGGTGATGATGGTGGTGATGGGTTCTCACGAGCAATTTGAGGTGATTGAAGAACGTGGGTTTAGAAAGAGCCATTTGCTTCAAATCTTGAGAGAAACTGAATTAGGGTTCTTGAAAAGGGTTTAAGCAGGGGAAATGGAAGAGAAGAGGAGATAGGGGTTGCCGGATGGTTTGGCGGATCCGGGTATGGGCTTTCAAATCTTGAAATGGGTCGACTTGTATATTCTTGAACGTATTGTAATTAGAGATGGCCAAAAACCGGTCCCGGGCCAGTCCCGGGCCGGTCCCAATCGGTCCTCACCATTCTCATAACCGGCCATAACCGGTTCCGGCGTAACCGCTCTCGGTCTCGGTCCCGGTCCCGGTCGAAAATGATAGGACCGGTATAGGTACTTTATAACCGGTTAAGGGCCGCCGGTCCCGGTCCCGGTCCCAACCGGTCCCAACCGGTCCTTCATTAAAAAAAATAAGATTTTTTATTTTATTTTTTTAATGATATATATTTTTAATACATTATAAAATTTACAATTGG